ACATAGTGCTTTATGCATTTCAAAGTGATTTGATGTGTTTTCATTTAACTGATCATCACAAAATTTGTGGAAGTTGGGTAAGGGCTTCTAAAAGATACAAAAGCTCAACAAAGAAAATAACACAATTGAGGCAGCCTTTTACACCAGGTCTGTAAATAATCATACAGTCTTATTTCTTGTTAATACTAGTAGAAAATACTTACTGAGCACCTTCTCTGTGCCAGGCACTTTTAAAAGAACACCACATATATTAACTCATTTAGTCATCAGAACAATTCTATGAAGTAGTTTTTATAATGTTTTCATTTTAAGGATAGAAAAACTCAGAGAAAAAGAGGTTAAATTATGGCTAATAACAATGTAAGTTTTGGCAGTCTCATGAAATACCTTCTCTTTAAAATAGTGTCTTTAAATATTTACTCAACAAGCAATATTCTTAATTAAAAAAACATACATTTGTATTAGGACTCTTCTCCTAAAATGTGTATGTAATTCAGTGGTGTGCTGTCAAACTATTTCAGTGGCTCTCTGCAAAATAGAAAGCCCTGATTTGTCGAATGCTACAGTGGCTCAGTGGGTAAAGAATCTGTTTTCAAGGCAGGAGACGCAGGAGATGCAGGTTTGATCTCTGGGTTGGGAAGGTCCCCTGGAGAAGGAAATGGCAATCCACTCCAGTATTCTCACCTGGAGAATCCCATGAACAGAGGGGACTGGAGGGTTACAGTCCATAGCGTTGCAAAGAGTTGGACATGATTGAAGTGACTCAGCGCTCATGCATGGTCTGAATGCTTGTGTTCACCATCCCCCAAGTTCATGTATTGGAATTTGAATGCTCAGTTTGATGGTGTTAGAAGAAGGGAGCTGTGGGAGGTAATTAGATCCTCTTGAATGGGATTAGAGATCCCATTGAGCTCCTTATCTCCTTCCACCATATGAGGATACAAAGAGAAGTTTGCAATCTGGAAGAAGATTTTCACTTGACCACACAGGCACCAGGTCTGAGATATCAGCCTCCAGAACTGTGAGAAATAAATTTCAGTTTTGGATAAGCCACCTAGCCTGTGTTATTTTGTTGTAACAGCCCAAAGGGATTAGGAATCCAGTTTGCCAATTTCTGTGGTATAAAAGCCCCATCTGGATCTATATACAGCCACCGAAGTGAGGAGAGGAGCACACATTTGGAGGTCATAGAGCTGTGGCTTTAGCACACCCTTGTCTGATTAAAACTACTACTGTACCCAAGATGACATGTAAGACCTTAAATGTGATAAGCCACCCTTGAAAATGTTATTAAAACACAAATTCATTTTATTTTCTGCTATTCTGTGCAACCTAATGTGAATTAAACTGTTAAAGATATGTTCATGTTCAGTCACTGTTTATGAAGAATTATGTTTTTTTATTTTTTTATTTTTTTACTGATTACAATCAGGCTTGTCTGGGATGATGCAATCATGTAGCAGCAATAGGGGCCAAAAATTTGCCACAGTACAATGGTCAGTAGATGTAGGCCATGAGTCACGTGCCAGATACTTTCAAAATCATAGTTCCTGAGATTGTTTTGCAGCCAGAACAGTTATCAAGAGTCCAAATAGTAACTTGGAAGTCTTGAGTTTCAGTCTGTGAATTACACATGTTTGCCATAGAATGTAGTCACCCCAAGAGTTCCTTCAGTAGCTCTTTAGGGTAAAATGGCCATGTATTTAAGTCCCTATCGCCTAGAGCCATGTCAGCTGAACTATAAGCAGTCAGTGGGATAACCTGGCCTTCTGAATGGCACCAAGGCTGAGTTCACAGGCATCTTGTTCTGTGACACCTGCTTCTGCCCAAGCTCCCTCTTCTCTAATACCAGTATTGCCTATCCTTATTATTAAAGCTGCTGCACAATAAAAATATTTTATAAATACATGTCTGGAACTAAACACTGTCTAATACTTTCCATTTTCTCCTTCTTTGTTCTCCAAAATACATATGTGAAAAATAAAATCAAAGTCTTCTGTCATCAGCTCACCATACTCTTCCTATCTGTGTTTTGTTTTCTGTTCATTCTTTCTTCTTATTCTGCCCCTGCCATGAAACTGTTTCCAGAAGTATCATAAAATTCTACTGAGGAAATGTGAATATCTTCTGACATTTTTTTCTATAACAACAGCGCTGAAAGGATATAATACAGCAAGATAAAGGTTCTTAGTGACCTTTTTGGCTGTCATGTCTTTACAATTCTATTAGCATTTCAAATCTAAACAATGACAAAATAACCTTATTCTACGAAACCATATTCCCAAGCTTGAGCAAGCTGGGAGGCCCTGCTTCTTTCTGTTAACAGGTAGGTGACTCTGCTTGCCCCACCCTCTGGAGAGACTGGTCTGAGGAGAAAGCTTTACCAGCTGGTGTAGGTGTCCACATGGGTGGAAAACTCCCCTGGTATTAGGATGCTTGGAACTCTTTTGCCTTTTCCATTGTTATTATTTTCATTCAGTCTTTTCATTGGGAAATAAAAAGCCTAAAAGCTAATGATTGTTAAAAGTTTTTGCCAGCTCATTGGTTCTGGATTAAGAAAGAAACAACAAACCAAAACCATTATAGGTAAAATTCCTGATATTTCAAATGGAGACTATTGAAATCTGCCCCGCAAATAAGGTGGGATGAATTAACCAAGCAAACCCAAATATTTCATTCATTGAACAAACAAATGTATGTTATTCAGCTTCCAGATACCAATCCTATTTTAAAGATCTAAGAATACAAATTTGGATAAAACATCAATTGGCAATTTGTAGTCCAAAATTACTAACTTTGATAAAATTTTCAAATTAATATATTAATGCTGCTGCTGCTAAGTCACTTCACTCATGTCCGACCCTGTGCGACCCCATAGTCTGCAGCCCACCAGGCTCCCCTGTCCCTGGGATTCTCCAGGCAAGAACACTGGAGTGGGGTGCCATTGCCTTCTCAACATTAATGCTAATCTGTAGCAGTTAATGAATTTTCAAGCAAGATATTAAATCTGAGCTTCATGTAGCCACATCATGGATATATGAGAAGATAAACATTTCCTGAAATTTATCATTATAAGTTTTATTATCTATTCTAGATAAATCCAATTAGGAATCTGAAACACAGATAAAATCCTTAAAGGAAAGATTTTATTTTGAGCTAAAAAGCAAAAGAAAAAAGTCTGTTTCACCTACCTCTGTCCATCTCATCTTTCATTCAAATCTCATCTCTTTTATGAAGCCATCTTCTAAAATTTCAGCCCAAATTAACCTCTTCTTTTTTAAATCTGTGTATTTAATATATTAATGTTAAACCAGTGGTTGTTATTCCTAGTGCATTTTAGAATCACCTGTGGAGTTTAAAATTACATACCCATTTCCAAGCTACAACCTTAGAAACTTATTTGGTAAACACACGTATGGTCCTGGCATTTGCATTTTTAAAACATACTACATATAACATGTTCTTAGCTAAAAAGCACTACTCAAGTTACACTTTACAATTTGATACTTTATAATAGCGCCTAATCTATATTTGTATTCTTGTATCCCAACTAAACTGTGACTATTGTTTGGGTACAAGCACAGACTCATACGTACTTTGTTCTTTGCAACACATGAAAACTTTCTCTGAACGTGTAAGAATTTCCACACTAACTTGTTTGAAAAAGTGGCAAGGAATTTCCTTTCAACACCTCTATATGATACACTTGTCTTTCTATTCATATTATTTAAACAGTAGTGGATCATGAGTAAATGTTATTTATTCATTTACTTTAATATTGATTTTCAGAAAGTTTCCTAAATTAGAGAAGATACTAGAGAGTCAGAGAGGGATACTCTCTAGTATAGTGGAGTTAAACTTATATTGGATCAAATCTAAAATGTGTTCTTCTTCCTTTTTATTTTTTATTGAAGGATAATTGCTTTACCGAATTTGCTGTCTTCTGTCAAATCTCAACATGAATCGGCAATATGTATACATATACTCTTCCCTTTTGAACCTCCCTCCTATCACCCTCCCCATCCCACCCCTCTAGGTTGATCCAGAGCCCCTGTTCGAGTTTCCTCAGCCATACAGCAAATTCCCAATGGCTATGTATTTTACATACGGTAATATAAGTTTCATGTTACTCTTTCCATATAGCTCACCCTCTCCTCCTCTCTCCCCATGCACATAAGTCTATTCTCTATGTCTGTTTCTCCATTTCTGCCCTGTAAATAAATTCTTCAGTGCCATTTTTCTACATTCGGTATATATGCATTAGAAGACGGTATTTATATTTCTCTTTCTGACTTACTTCAGTCTGTATAATAGGTTCTAGTTTCACCCACCTCGTCAGACTGACTCAAATGTGTTCCTTTATATGGCTGAGTAGTATTCCATTGTGTACATGTACCACGACTTCTTTATCCATTCATTTGTCAGAGGGGATCTAGGTAGTTTCCATGTTCTAGCTATTGTAAATAGTGCTGCAATGAACAAAGGGATACATGTGTCCTTTTAATAATTTATTTATTTATTTTAGTTGGAGGCTAATTACTTTACAATATTGTGGTGGTTTTGACATGAATCAGCCGCGGGTGTACATGTGTTCCCCATCCTGAACCCCCCCTCCCACCCCCTTCCCCATCCCATCCCTCAGGGTCATCCCAGTGCGCTAGCATTGATTGCCCTGTTTCATGCATCGAACCTTGACTGGTGATCTATTTCACATATGGTAATATATATGTTTCAATGCTATTCTGTCAAATCATCCCACCCTCAACTTCTCCCACAGAGTCCAAAAGTCTGTTCTTTATATCTGTGTCTCTTTTGCTGTCTCACATACAGGGTCATTGTTACCATCTTTCTAAATTCCATATATATGTGTTAATATAGTCTATTGGTGTTTTTCTTTCTGACTTACTTCACTCTGTATATTAAGCTCCAGGATCATCCACCTCATGAGAAATGATTCAAATGTGTTCTTTTTAATAGTTGAGTAACATTCCCTTGTGTATATGAACCACTGCTTTCTTATCCATTCATCTGCCGAAGGACATCTAGGTTGCTTCCATGTCCTAGCTATTGTAAACAGTGCTTCGATGGACATTGGGGTGCACGTGTTTCTTTCAATTCTGGTTTCCTCAGTGTATATGCCCAGTAGTGGGATTGCTAGGTTGTATGGCAGTTCTATTTCCACTTTTTTAAGGAATCTCCACACCGTTCTCCATAGTGGCTGTACTAGTTTTCATTCGCACCAACAGTGTAAGAAGGTTCCCTTTTCTTCACACCCTCTCCAACATTTATTGTTTGTAGACTTTTTGATAGCAGCCATTTTGACCAGTGTGAGATGGTTCTTCATTATGGTTTTGGTGTGCATTTTTCTGATAATGAGTGATATTGAGCATCTTTTCCTGTGTTTCTTAGCCATCTGTATGTCTTTGGAGAAATGTGTGTTTAGTTCTTTGGCCCATTTTTTCATTGAATCTTTTATCTTTCTGGAATTGAGCTGCAGGAGTTGCTTCTATATTTCTGAGTTTAATTCTTTATCAGTTGCTTCGTTTGTTATTATTTTCTCCCATTCTGAAGGCTGTCTTTTCACCTTGCATATAGTTTCCTTTGTTGTGCAAAAGCTTTTAAGTTTAATTAGGTCCCAACTGTTTATTTTTGCTTTTATTTCCAATATTCTTGGAGGTGAGTCATAGATGATCCTGCTGTGACTTATGTTAGAGAGTGATTTATGTTTTCCTCTAGGAGTTTTATAGTTTCTGGTATTACATTTATATTTTTAATCTATTTTGAGTTTATTTTTGTGTACGGTGTTAGAAAGTGTTCTAGTTTCATTCTTTTACAAGTGGCTAACCAGTTTTTCCAGCACCACTTGTTAAATAGATTGTCTTTTCTCAATTGTATATTCTTGCCTCCTTTGTCAAAGATAAGGTGTCCATAGGTGCATGGATTTATCTGTGGGCTTTCTATTTTGTTCCATTGATCTATGTTTCTGTTTTTGTGCCAGGACAATACTGTCTTGATTACTGTAGCTTTGTAGTATAATCTGAAGACAGGAAGGTTGATTCCTTCAGCCCCATTCTTCTTTCTCAAGACTGCTTTGGCTATTTGGGGTCTTTTGTGTTTCCATATGAATTGTGAAATATTTTGTTCTAGTTCTGTGAAAAATGCCATTGGTAATTTGATAAGGATCACATTGAATCTGTAGATTGTATTTGGTAGTTTAATTATTTTCACAAAACTTATTCTTCCTACACAGAAACATGGACTATCTCTCCATCTGTTTATGTCATTTTTGGTTCTTTTCATCAGTTCAGTTCAGTAGCTCAGTCATGTCCATCTCTTTGCAACCCCATGAACAGCAGCATGACAGGCTTCCCTGCCCATCACCAACTCCCGGAGTCCACCCAAGCCCATGTCCATTGAGTCAGTGATGCCATCCAGCCATCTCATCCTTTGTTGTCCCCTTCTCCTCCACCCTCAATCTTTCCCAGCATCAGGGTCTTTTCTAATGAGTCAGTTCTTCATATCAGGTGGTCAAAGTATTGGAGTTTCAGCTTCAGCATCAGTCCTTCCAATGAACACCCAGGACTGATCTCCTTTAGGATGGACTGGTTGGATCTCCTTGCAGTCCAAGGGACTCTCAATAGTATTCTCCAACACTATAGTTCAAAAGCATAAATTGTTCGGTGCTCAGCTTTCTTTATAGTCCAGCTCTCACATCCATACATGACTACAGGTGGCTGGAGAAACCATAGCCTTGACTAGATGGACCTTTGTTGACAAAATAATGTCTCTGCTTTTTAATATGCTGTCTAGGTTTGTAATAACTTTCTTTCCAAGGAGTAAGTGTCTTTTATTTCCATGGCTGCAATCACCATCTGCAGTGATTTTGGAGTCCCCCCCCCCAAAAAAAAAAAAAAGTCAGCCACTGTTTCCACAATTTCTTTATCTATTTGCCATGAAGTGGTGGGACCAGATGCCATGATCTTAGTTTTCTGAATGTTGAGCTTTAAGCCACCTTTTTCACTCTCCTCCTTCACTTTCATCAAGAGGCTCTTTAGTTGTTCTTCACTTTCATTCATCAGTGTCATAATTCTCTGTGTGCAGTTCTTTTCTCACCCTAGGTAGTTTCTTCCTAGATATTTAATTCTTTTTGTTACAATGATGAATGGGATTGATTCCTTAAATTTTCTTTCTGATTTTTCATTGTTAGTATACAGAAATGCAAGTGCTTTTCGTGTGTTGTTTTTGTATATCAAAACTTTGCTAAATTCACTGACTAGCTATAGTAATCTTCTGATGCTATCTTTAGGGTTTTCTATGTACAGTATCATGTCATCTGCACACAGTGAGAGCTTTACTTTTTCTTTTCTGATCTGGATTAGTTTTACTTCTTTTCCTTTTCTGATTGCTGTAGATAGGACTTCCAGAACTATGTTGAATAATAGTGGGTATTCAAGACAAGTGGCACCCTTGTCTTCTTCCTGATCTTAGGGGTAATGCTTTCAATTTTTCACCATTGAGAATAATGTTTGCTGTAGGCTTATCATATAGGGCCTTTGCTATGTTGAGGTAGGTTCCTTCTTTGCTGATTTTTTGAAGAGTTTTAATCATAAATGGGTGCTGAATTTTGTCAAATGCTTTTTCTGCATCTATTGAGATTATCATATGATTTTTACCTTTCAATTTTTTAATATGGTGTATCACATTGATTGATTTGTGTATACTGAAGAATCCTTGCATTCCTGGAATAAACCCAAGTTGATCATGGTGTATGAGCTTTTTGATGTGTTGCTGAATTTTGTTTGCTGAAAGTTTGTTGAGGATATTTGCATTTATGTTCATCAGTGATATTGGCTTGTAGCTTTCTTTTTTGTGTTGTCTTTGTCTGGTTTTGGTATCAGGATGATGGTGGCCTCAAAGAATGTGTTTGGAAGTGTCCCTTCCTCTGTAATTTTTGAAAGAGTTGTAGAAGGATAGGCATTAGCTCTTCTCTAAATGTTTGATTGAGTTATCCTGTGAAGCCCCATCTAGTCCTGGACTTCTGTTTTTTGGGAGTTTTCTTTTATCACATCTTCAATTTCAGTGCTTTTAATTGGGTTGTTCATAATGTTTATTTCTTCTTAGTTCAGTCTTGGAAGATTGAACTTTTCTAAGAATATACCCATTTCTTCCAGGTTAACCATTTTATTGACATATAGTTTTTCATAATAGTCTTATAATCCTTTGAATGTTGTTTTCTATTGTAACCTTTCCTTTTTCATTTCTAATTTTCTTGATTTGATTCTTCTCTCTTTTTTTTCTTGATGAGTCTGGCTAAAGGCTTGTCAGTTTTGTTTATCTTCTCAAAGAACCAGCTTTTAGTTTTATTAATCTTTACTATTGCTTCTTTCATTTCTTTATTTATTTCTGCTTGGATCTTTATGATTTTTTTCCTTCTAATAATTTTGATTTTTGTTGTTGTTCTTCTTCTTCTGTTTCCAGTTGTTTTAGGTGTAAAGTTAGGTTGTCTGCTCAATGTTATTCTTGTTTCCTAAGGTAGGACTGTATTGGTATAAACTCCCCTCATAGAACTGCTTTTGAACACCTGCATCACTTAGGTGTTTAATTGTCATGTTTTCATTGTTATTTGTTTCTAGAATTTTTTTTTTATTTCTCTTTTGATTTCTTCAGTAACCTGTTGGCTAGTTAGAAACATGTTGTTTAATCTCCATGTGTTTGTGCTTCTTAAAGTTTTATTCTTGTAATAGATAACTCATTTCATAGTGTTGTGGCCTGAGAAGATGCTTGATACGGTTTCAATTTTCTTAAATTTACTGAGTTTTGATTTGTGACCCAAGATGTGGTCTATCCCAGAGAATGTTCCACGTGCGCTTGAGAAGAAAGTGTATTCTTCTGCATTTGGGTGGAATGTCCTGAGGTATCAATGAGGTCAATCTCATCTAATTTATCATTTAAGACTTGTGTTTCTTTATTAATTTTCTGTTTTGATGATCTGTCCATTGGTCAGAGTGGAGTGTTAAATTCTCCTACTGTTATTGTGTTACTGTCGATTTTTCCTTTTATGTGTGTTAGTGGTTGTGTTATATATTGAGGTGTTCCTATATGGGGTGTGTAGATATTTACAATTGTTATGTCTTCCTATTGGATTGATCCCTTCACCATTATGTAATGTCCTTCATTATCTCTTGTAATCTTCTTTATTTTAAGATCTATTTGGTCTGATATGAGGATTGCTACTCGACCTTTCTTTTGCTTCCCATTTGCATGAATATATTTTTCCATCCTCTCACTTTTAGTCTATACGTGTCTTTAGGTCTGAAGTAGATTTCTTGTAGACAGCATATATATGGGTCTTGTTTTTGTATCCAATCAGCCAGTCTGTGTCTTTTGGTTGGAGCATTTAATCCATTTACATTTAAAGTAATTATTGATATATATGTTCCTATTGCAACTTTTAAAATTGTTTGGGGTTAATTTTATAGATCTTTTTCCTTCTCTTGTATTTCTTGACTATATATGTTCCTTTAACATTTGTTGTAAAGTTGGTTTGGTGGTACTGAATTCTCTTAATGTTTGCTTGTCTAAATAGTTCTCCATCAATTTTGAATGATATCCTTGTTGGGTACAGTAATCTTGGTTGTAGATTTTTCCCTTTCGGTACTTTAAATATATCCTGGCATTTCCTTCTGGCCTGCAGAGTTTCTGTTGAAAGATCATCTGTTAAGTGTATGGGGCTTCCCTTGTATGTTACATGTTGCTTCTCCCTTGCTACTTTTAATATTCTTTCTTTGTGTTTAGTCTTTGTTAGTTTTATTAGTATGTGGCTTGGCATGCTTCTCCTTAGGTTTATCCTGTATGGGACTCTTTGCACCTCTTGGAATTCTGACTATTTCCTTTTCTATGTTGGGGAGGTTTTCAACTATAATCTCTTCAAAAATTTTATCATATCACTTTTTATATTGTCCCAGAGGTCTCTGAGACTATCCTCGGTTCTTTTCAATCTTTTTACTTTATTCTGATCTTCAGAAGTTATTTCCACCGTTTTATCTTCCAGATCACTGATTCGTTCTTCTGCTTCAGATATTCTGCTATTGATTCCTTCTAGAGTATTTTTAATTTCAGTCATTGTGTTGTTTGTCTCTGCTTATTCTTTAATTCTTCTATGTCTTTGATAATTGATTCTTTCATTTTCTCCACTTTGTTTTCAAGGTTTTTGATGGTCTTTACTATCATTATTCTGAATTCTTTTTCAGGTACTACACCTATTTCCTCTTCATTTATTTGGACTTCTGTGTTTCCAGTTTGTTCTTTCATTTGTGTTGTACTTCTCTGCCCTTTAATTAATTAATTAATTAATTTTGTTGTTTTGTGTTTGAGGTCTCATTTTCCCAGGCTTCAAGCTTGAATCCTTTCTTACTTTAGTTTCTGCCCTCCAGAGAGTAAAGCATCTGCCTGCTATGCAGGAGATCTGAGTTTGAACCCTGGGTCGGGAAGATCCCCTGGAGAAGGAAATGGCAACCCACTCCAGTATTCTTGCCTGGAGAATCCCAAGGATGGAGGAGCCTGGCAGGCTACAGTTCACGGGGTTGCAAAGAGTCAGACACGAATGAGCGACTTCATTTTCACTTTTCAAGATTGGTCCAGTGACTTGTGCAAGCTTTGCATAGGGTGAGATTGCGCTGAGTTTTTG